TACAGACTGGTTCTCCTACAGTCTGATTCTCCTACAGTCTGGTTCTCGTACAGACTGGTTCCCCTACAGACTGGTTCTCCTACAGTCTGATTCTCCTACAGTCTGGTTCTCCTACAGTCCAGTTCTCCCACAGACTGGTTCTCCTACTGTCCAGTTCTCCCACAGTCTGGTTCTCCTACTGTCCAGTTCTCCCACAGTCCGGTTCTCATACAGTCTGGTTCTCCAACAGTCTGGTTCTCCAACAGTCTGGTTCTCCAACAGTCTGGTTCTCACACAGATTGCTTCTCATACAGTCTGGTTCTCGTACAGTCTAGTTCTCGTACAGTCTAGTTCTCGTAAGTCTAGTTCTCGTACAGTCTAGTTCTCGTACAGTCTAGTTCTCGTAAGTCTAGTTCTCGTACAGTCTAGTTCTCGTACAGTCCGGTTCTCGTACAGTCTGGTTCTCCCACAGACTGGTTCTCCCACAGACTGGTTCTCCTACAGACTGGTTCTCCTACAGTCTGGTTCTCCAACAGTCTGGTTCTCCAACAGCCTGGTTCTCCTACAGTCTGTTTCTCATACAGTCTGGTTCTCATACAGACTGGTTCTCCTACAGTCCGGTTCTCCTACAGTCCAGTTCTCCTACAGTCTGGTTCTCGTACAGACTGGTTCTCCTACAGTCTGGTTGTCCGACAGTCTGGTTGTCCGACAGTCTGGTTCTCCTACAGTCCGGTTCTCCCACAGACTGGTTCTCCTACAGTCTGGTTCTCCTACAGTCTGGTTCTCAAACAGTCTGGTTCTCCATCAGTCTGGTCCACGTATGATCTAGTTCTCCTACAGTCTGATTCTCCAACATTCTGGTTCTCCAACAGTCTGGTTCTTGTACAGCGTGGTTCTCCTACAGTCTGGTTCTCCTACAGTCTGGTTCTCATAGTCCGGTTCTCCTACAGACTGGTTCTCCCACAGTCTGGTTCTCCCACAGTCTGGTTCTCGTACAGACTGGTTCTCATACAATCTGGTTCTCCCACCGTCTGATTCTCCCACAGTCTGGTTCTCCTACAGACTGGTTCTCCTACAGACTGGTTCTCCCACAGTCTGGTTCTCCAACAGACTGGTTCTCGTACAGACTGGTTCTCGTACAGACTGGTTCTTTTACAGTCTGGTTCTCCTACAGACTGGTTCTCCTACAGTCCAGTTCTCCCACAGACTGGTTCTCCTACAGTCTGGTTCTCCTACAATCTGGTTCTCCTACAGTCCAGTTCTCCTACAGTCCGGTTCTCCTACAGCCCAGTTCTCCCACAATCCGGTTTTCATACAGTGCGGTTCTCATACAGTCTGGTTCTGCAACAGTCTGGTTCTCATACAGTCTGGTTCTGCAACAGTCTGGTTCTCATACAGTCTGGTTCTGCAACAGTCTGGTTCTCCAACAGTCTGGTTCTTGTACAGGGTGGTTCTCTTACAGTCTGGTTCTTTTACAGTCTGGTTCTCCTACAGACTGGTTCTCCTACAGTCCAGTTCTCCTACAGTCTGGTTCTCCTACAGTCCAGTTCTCCTACAGTTTGGTTCTCCTACAGTCCAGTTCTCCTACAGTCTGGTTCTCCTACAGTCCAGTTCTCCTACAGTCTAGTTCTCCTACAGTCCAGTTCTCCTACAGTCTGGTTCTCCTACAGTCCAGTTCTCCTACAGTCTAGTTCTCCTACAGTC